CGCCCCGCCCCGTTCCGTTGCCATCCCTACAATCATCAATATATTAATTGTGAATCACATTTATGTCACTTGTTTATAAATTTCTAACTATATCACAAATTTTAGATATTGCCTAACAACCTGTTTAGAAAAATTTGGGAATACCAACCCCCAATTAATGACTCGGCAAACAAGACACGCTCAATGTAAGTTGGGGCGTTAAATAGGGTGAGTCACTTACTGGCTTACACCACAGACTAGCCGAGTAGCAAAAACCTCGTATCAAGTTGGCTCGAAATCTTTAAGTTGAAATGTATTTTTTATTAAGAACAATTAGCAAGCTGCTTGGCTCGCTCGAATCGCCCCATATTCTGGCTCGAGCTTGACTTGTTTCACGTGTGAGTGAGAGCCAACTCTCATGATAGCACAAATCGAACTAGACAATAGGCGAGTCAGAAGACTAGCAGGTCAGAAATATAGAGTAATTATAACACTTCCTTATGATTTTCACAAAATCATATCAAGTAGTCATATTTTTACCGTGTGAATAATGCACTATTAATAAGAATTTCATAAATCAAGAATTGCAGTTCTTTGTGTAATATCTTTTATTGTTGTACTTTTTTCTTATGTATAAGAATTGATAATCCCTAGCCAATCACCCCCTTTTTCACAATAATAATCGGGACAATATTTTAAAAGGCGAACATGACTTAATTAAGCAAGCTTAGGCACGAGACTTGAAGAAAAAACTTTATAAATGCGAATGCGTAAAAAAAGAGGAATACCTCTATTTTTGACCACCTAATACGGGTCAAAAGGCTAGTTGTGCTTTTCAATTTATTTTTTAAAATTATTTTAAGGGTTGAATGAGATACTACCTCCCTCGTACATAAACCAATAAAATAAGAATAATACTATTTAACACCACTAGTACTATAACATTGATTTAGGAATAATGCTAAGAGTACATCACCCCTTACATAAGGGGTGACATAATAGCCAAGTGACTCCTCCTCATTGGAGGAGTGCCGATGCCCCACATGTGGGCCGAGGCCGCCCCTCCAATGAGGAGATGCCACTTGGCTATTATGTCACCCCTTATGTAAGGGGTGATGTACTTGTAACAAGACCGTTAATTTAGATGACGCTATTTAATAGGATCAGTAAAAGTTACGATTAAGTGATTCATTTAACTATACTTCTAATTTAATGATATACTAACACTGCTTAGACCGATGTTCTAATACCAGTGATGTTAAATAGCATTACTCATAAAATAAATAAGAGATAGCTCAAGAACCATCAAACATGATAGTGGTCTAGTATAAGTGCATTAATTAATGAACCGATTAGATCAGTCAATAGCCACCCAAAATACATATGTTTAGATTCAGAAAATTTATTTTCTTTTTTTCTAAAAAATATTTTTAATCAAAAATACAATATAACAATGATCCATCGGTTAACCAAACTTTCCGATGATTTGTACGGATCGACAATCTAGTTGGATATCATATTTATAGTTTTATACAAAAATTTATGCAGTTATTGTGGAAGAATTTATTTTTTGCTTTATGGGTAATGAGTAGCATAGGATCCCATAAACTTTAATGACTAGACGTGTCATCTTTTTTCATAAAAAAAGATGTACCAATATAAAATAGTATGCCCTCGGAAATGTACAAGCTGTACAAGCATGTCCTTTGCACTATCCTGTGCCTTACCGTAGAGAATAGTATTCAGCCATGCATAGGAAAAGTCGGGATTCTTGATAACATGCGCACATGGTGCACTGTGTTAATCTTTTATCACCTCCATCATCACTCTATCTTTGTCTTTGCATTGTTCATTCTTTCTCTCTCTAATGCTCTAAAAGTCTTCGCATTTTCTCTCTTTAAACTTCCATTATCAATCCTGTCTGTCACATAGTGTAACAACAATATGGATAGTCAAGATCACAAGATTTCCACTGGTTCTAAAGGTTCGTGTCTCTTTGTATTTTCAAGAAACTTGGTTTTGGAAATATTATCTGCTGATTTTTTTTTTCGAATTTTCAGTCTTTTCTTGAAAGTATAATTAACTGGGTTTTGCTTTTCTTGCTTGGATTTTGATGGGCTTTTCTTGGTTGTTAATCTGCCCCTCTGTATCTCTCTCACAAACACACGCAGAGAAACACATTGACTGACCCCTGTATAGATGTATATTTTTATGAAATGATGATGTACATATACACCCTTCTGTTTAGTCTATTGATCGTCTATAAAGTGATTGCAGTAAAATCCTTCTATATAGTCTATGCTCTCACAGAAAACACGCACAAACCCACAATGGGAAGAACTCTTTTATAACTGGGTAATAGGAAATCTTGACTTGTATACGATGTTGTTATAGGAACTTTTGACTTGTTAATTTGTAATTTTTATTTTCTGGGCCCGAATTCCCAATCTTGTTGCAAAATTAATGGTTTACTTATTCTGTTTGATTCTCGAAGGGCATGAGATTCATGGGTTTTACCTATGCCATAGATGTGGTTGGCCTTTTCCAAATCCACACCCAAGTGCCAGACACAGAAGAGCCCACAAGAGGGTTTGTGGAAAAGTTGAAGGCTATAAGCTAATTGATTCAGAAGCTGAGGATCCCCATTTGGCTGTTTCAGATGAGGAGCGTAGTTCAGATGAGGATCATCAAACCCCCAGTGAGATTTCTTGATTTTGTATTCATATTCTACATATGTTAGATTGTAAGCATTTGTTTGATTCTGATTCTTAAGTTAAAAATCTGGGATTTTTGTTGAGGAGCTGTTTGTTTGTAAAGGTACCAAGGCTGAGAAGCAAAATATCAAGGAGTTCAATAGCAGTGGTGGAGCAGGTGAAAAATCGAACAGATCGGAAGATGAAGTGTTTACAGATGCAGTCGCGGAGTTTTCGGATAGTGGAGTTAGTCCAGGTCTGGAGGAGCGTTTAGAGAGTGTTTCAGATAAGAGTGTGGAAAAAGGAGTGGTGGATGATCTTAATAGGAACCAACTAATGAAGTCTGATGAAACTGCCAGTAAGCGTTTGATTCTTTGGTCATAGCATCCACTGCTTTTCATTGCAAATTAACTCCTGATGACTAGCATTATAATTTTGATTTCAAGCTTATTGCTATTTGTATCCATGATGGAAAATATACTAGTGGATTTTAGGAAGCAATAGTGGACATCATGCATATTAGTTAGTCATATGAACTATTGCTTAAATTAAATTAAATGAATCTGAATGTGGAAATCTCTCATTCAGCATCCAAGTCCGACTTGTACTCCTCTCTGTCTTGAAGGAACTTGAGTCCCTCCTCAGGATCTGTCCACATCTAGAGCAATGTTCTACAGTACTTTTAAAGGCTATATTATTGCGTTACCTAAAGGAAATGTATTTCAGGACACTAAGGAGACTGAACTGAAACAAGGAATTTCAATTTTAAATACATTTGAGTGAACTATGATTAAATACGAATGAGTATTCACTATTTCTCATTGCGTTTGATAAAACTGAGATTATAAATTATGAAACATTGATGACATGATTGTTGTGAAACATTGATCACATGATTGAATATTGTTGGGCGCTGGGCCTTTGTTCAATTCATATAGGAAGTGGATGAGGACATTCTGTAATATGAATAATGCATATAGATGCACTTGAAATTTCAACAGGTTTGATTTGATGATTGCGAAAAAATTTGTTATATTGCACATTGAAATTGAAAAAAAAAAATTCAGTATGTTTTCCTCGTGTTCTTTATTATTCTTCATCTTTCCTCTTTCGTCAATCTTCTGGAAGACTTGTTAAATGTGTCAAACTGATTATCCAACTCACAGCTGTCTTATACATACTAGTGTTTGTCATTGAATATAATTTATTTTCATATAATATCAAGTCCACTCCCATGACTGCAGAGACAACTGAACAACTGAATGACCCCACAAGCAGCCAATCCTGCAAACTGGAATGTGCGGTGGACCAGTTGGAGGAAAGTATTGTTCCACCAAGTGTTACTACATCTGAAGCAGTTTCTGTTGGATTCACTAATGCTCTACAGTCTAGTCCTATCAAATCGAGTCAAACTGATGTAATAACTGGTAATATAAATGAAGATGGTGATAGAAAAATGCAGCAAGAGCCGGTGAGTGCTAAACAGCTTGTAGATGCCAAAGGGGAAAAAGATGAGGCATATCTGAAAAGCTTAGAGTCTGTGACCTTGGACTCTGCAGAAGAAAAAAATTCAGATCTTAATGTGAAAATAGTAGATAGAGAGGAAAAACTTTGTGATAAGTTGGATTCTGAAGTGGTCAAACATGAAGTTTATCCTCAAAATGAAACTACTGAAAATGTGGATGCTTTTGCTGAGGTCAAAAAGGATGCTGATTCTGCCACAGATTTAAATGGTGAAAGTGACCACAAGTTGATTGAGGTATGCAAGTCAGAGGTTGGGCAGGAACAGATGCATTTGCTCTCTGCAAATTTACCAGGAGTAGATAACCCTGAAGTCATAATTGAAGATTTCAAAGATCATAAATATATTCAGTCTAAGCTTCCTCTGGACCTGAACTCTGCTGAAATAACAAGATCCGTAGAAGCTGTTGATGAATGTACTATTGCAGAGGAGTATTCGATTGCCCATTCAGTTAAGCCAGGAGGAAGTATGCCTAGCTCTTCTGTAGCTTCGAGTGGTTTCAGTGCTGTGGAAGATAATCTTAAAGCAGTTGCTGATACTTCCACATTGAGGGAAACAAGCGGAAGTGTTGAAACTTGTGGCTTAGAACTCCATGAAGTTACCACCGGGGCAGAGGACCATAAGATTCAAACAAACTGCAGTACCCAAGAATTGCAGTCTCATTCTGTTGACTCGTCTCAGAATGCTCTTTGTGAGAATTCTCCAATTAATGGCTCTGATATCATATCTGTTAATTCTTCTGCCGATGAGGAAATCAAGCAAGAAACCAACATGCATGGAGCAGGTGAGAATGCTAGTAATTGTGACATGAGTAAGAGTGAGAAGGGTGTTATATTTGGAAATGAAAGGAGTGAAGTGGACTCTGAGGACATATTACGTGTTTATTCAAAATCAACCTCCGATAACGCAGAAAGGCCTTTTGCACCTAATGATGATCAAACTACCAAGACTCTTGTAGAAGACAGCAACCATTATGATGAAAAGTCTAGCAGTATGCTTTTCAATGCAGGGAATGGAAGTGAGGATGGTGGTGCCCAGGGTAAATTAACGAATAATGAAGAAGCAAAGAATGGTTATTTTATGCAGTCACTGGATCCGGCTGATTTTTCAACTTCAGACCGAAGTGCAGAATGTCCAATTTCTGATGAGTTGGCATTTCTTCCCATAGATTCTGAATCTTTGAAACAAAATTCTGCTGAGGAAAATAGCTGTGCTGGTGATGGTGTTATAGAATCAGAACCTAAGGATGCAGTTGGAATGGCAGGTGAACTGAATCTTGATGGCAGTATTGTAATATCGAGTGAAAATCATGATATACCTACTTCAAAAGAGCAAGAATCTGTGCCTGTAGGTCAGGAATGTTTAAATGAAACTTCTGCTGCTGTTGAGAACAGACGTACAAGTAACGATGTTAGCACATTAAAGTCTGTTGGCATAGATTCAGGTGTGAAACTGATCCACGATGGCGATATTGTAGCATCCGACAAGCATTCACCCATCTCATTTTCAAAAGAGCCAGGAGCTCCACCGTCAGATTCTGAAGTTCTAAACAAAAATAAACAAAAGTTCTGGTACTGTTGATGATACCATTATTTCTAATAATAATGGTGAAAAAGCCTCTGGTATTAGTTTTGAGCCTTCGCAAGATGAAGCTGATGACAAGCTCACAAAACAGAAAGATGGGAATTCTTCAGTGGTTATATCAGGTGCTTCAAGTAGTCCAACTGAGAGTCTCGAAGGGAACTGGGGATCAGGTAAACTCTTTTGTCACTGTATATAAATATAAGAGAACCAATTTTAAATACAAGATAATAATAGGCCAATAAATTAAGTAGTAGTTTGTCTGCTGCTTAGTAGCTGTAAGAAAAACAACAATACAAAACCAGAAATTTTCATAAGAAATAAAGAAAGAATGAAACAGAGACGAGATTAACAAGCACAGGACACAGAATTCTTTGTGGTTCAAGAACTCCCCTACATCCGCGGTGGGACCAGATTTATTTCTTTTATTCAGAACCAGAGGCTGAAATATGGATTTTTCTCCAAGAGTAAATACACTCCAGTCTCATTCTTCTATTTTTACTAACTTCCTAGTCTTCACTTAACTGTAAATTTCTCTGAATAATCTGTTCTATAAATGTGAAACAAATCATAACAAATATCCACCTTCGGATCACAAATCCCAGATGCTGGTCCGGTAGTCTCTTACCGTCAAAGGGGCTGTTCAATGTCTCTGACATTCACCAAATTCAAACAGTGATTACACGATGTCAGAGCTATGATGTCTCATATAAAAGCAGCCTTAATACTTAGTTCTATCATTGAACATGTGATTCTTTGAGAGATACATTCAACTTTGACTAGCACACCAGACTCTGCCATTTACTTCTTGATCTTCTAACTTAGTTACCAGTCCCTTGACAAACCACTTTTATTGCTTTTGTAAGAGCAATATATACAACTTTCATTGTTGACGATGCCACTATGGATTGAAGATTAGCTTTCCAGCTTACAACATTCGCATCCAGGGTAATATACTATCCAGCCAGTAATCTTCTTTTGTTTAAATCTCCTAAATCCCCTGCAAAATCTGAATTTACTTTATATGCTATACCTGTCAATTTTCTGTGCTTGACCATACTCTAAACTAACTTTTCGTGTTCGTTCTAATACTGAAGTACCCATTTAACTGCCTGCCAATGGCTTTTTCCTGGCTACTTACCAAACTTGCTGAATGTGATGCCTGGTCCTCTGCAAACCATGGCATACATCAAATGTTTAGTGGCCCTAGAGTAAGGAAAATTAGCCATATATCTCTCTGCTTCTTCAGTGCTGGGCGATTGAGTTGCTCAGAGTTTAAAATGTGTTGCCAAAGGGGTTCTAACCTGTCTTAGCTTCAACCACACCGAATTGCTCTAGACTTTTCTTCAGATATCCTTCTTATGACAAATTTAGAAAATCTTCTATTCTTTTTCTGCAAATCTCCATCCCAAGGATCATTCTGTGGTTCCCAAGCCCTTCATTTCAAACTCCGAGCTCATCATTACTTCAGATCCTTTATTGCTTCATTATCTTTACATGTTAGAAGCATGTAATTAACATATAGAAACGATAGACGAAAAAAGCATCATTTAACCTTAAACACTATTATTGAAATTGTCTCTCTAATACGCATTCTTCAACATGAATATGCAAAACATATATACTATTGTCCATCCTTACATGGTATAAGCATGTCATCATCAAATAGAAGTAGATGGATGAATCTAGCATCGGCAAGCCTTTCAAAATGAACCCAACTATTGGAATTGCTCCTTCCATAGGCATTTAATGACATTGATGTCTCGAACCTTTAATAAAGTATTCTAGGCAAGTGTTTGAACCCATACAATATTTTTTCTTTAGTGACACACATGCTTCTCCTTTCGAACCCAAAACCCAATTGGTTGCTGCATAAAGATATTCTCTTTGAGCTCCCTGTGTTTCACACCCATGTGCTCCAAGTCTAGATCATATCTCTTCTCAATTGCTTACTAAGTTTTGATTGATGAGTGCTCAATAACGAGCGAAAATATTTCATTAAACTCCGCCCTTCGTGTTGTGTAAACCCTACTTTGGTTTGTCCACCGGATCCCAAGTTCCGTTTTGTGTGAGGAACTACTTTCGTCTTCCAAGCTGCAATCTGTGTATGCTTTTCTTCATTGTTTATTGCTTCATTTAAAGTCTTCGGATCTTCACTCGAATCATCAAATATTCCTGTCAAAGCAATGATATAAAATTAGCGTAACCAGATCTTTAAGGTTGGCTAACCTCCCTTGTAGTTCCATCTACGGTAAGGTTATAATCTGGCATTTTTTATGATGGTTTAGGCTCCTCAAGTTGCTCTTCATTATGATCAGTTTCTTTAGGTTACTCCACCTCCCAGATTGAACTCTCATGTTGTGAGAGTTATGTAGGGAGATGCAACCTCTTTGTCCATAAGGTATAGCTGATGGGAGAGGTGAAATCCTTGTCTCCCAGAATCAGGCTTGGGAGCCCACTCTGTTTGTGCCTAACTTCGAAAGACACCTTATGAAGGCGCCATTGGCCACACCCAAATAGAGACTATATGCCCACCTGAATTTCAAGCATGCGCTTGCATTCCATAGAAATGCTCCAGCATTGACTCGAACCCAACACCTCTAGCTCTGATACTAAGTTACTAACTGATGTAGGGAGGTGCAACTAATTTGTCCAAAAGCTATGGCTGACGGGGGAGGTGCAATCCACCCTATATCACCCCAGAATCAAGCCCGGAAATCCATCTCAAGCCCACTCCATTTGGACCTCACTTTGAAGGACACCTTACGAAGGCCAAATAGCAACTACAGGCCCACCCCGTTTCAGAAATTGTAGCCCATTGGATCATACATTCAAACAGACCAAGTTTCTTTACAAATCTGGGATGTACTTTTACATCAGTCATCTTTTATTAAACCATTTACCAATCTGATTCTAATGGTGCCAATTTCTATGACTTCACTAGCCACATTATTTACCATTTGTACCTTTCCATCATCAATTGACTTGTACAAAACATATCATAGTCGATTTGGGATCAAATGAAAAGAACACCCAGATCTAATATCCATTGCTCACCATTGCTTTCAGTAGAGAATTTGGATCTGAGTTTTCAATCCTGTGTGCATAACTGTCTTTCATACTATGTGATAAATTAGTTGATGGCTCGATGTTACATGTCATACAATGCACTATTACTGTGTAATAGATGAATTCAGTCGTTCTAATTCTATTACTTGCGTCATATGATTTATTAAACAGTCCTTTCCTTGCAATCTGACCCAGGAACTGCTGCTGAAACAAATTCTCATGCACCAGAAAAATCAGAAGCTAATTTTCAGAAGCAGGAGGCTAAATCCACAGAAGGCCATCATCACAAGTCAGACGATTTTGAGCCTCCAACCTTCAGGACATTGGTCCAGTCTGCAGATAATATTAACCAGAAAGGTTCTGCTTCAGAGATCGAGATAGCTCAGAATGCACAACAGCTGAAATCTGAAGCTCTTCCACAAGGCTGGTTCCCTTCCATAACAAATGTAGTGAATGAATCAGAAGGTCGAAAGAAAAACGAGGAGATTATTGCCAAAGTGACAAACTGGAGCTCAGAAAAGCAACACAATCCACTGAAAAATCTTCTGAGTGAATCCAAGTCTCCTAACCCAAAACAAGTGCCTGCTGCAAATCAGAAAGACGAGAGTGCCACGAAAGATAATGATCAAGCAGCAACCACTGTGAATTCGACTTTAGGTTCTGGAGCACCCAATAAAGAAATGGATGAGTGGAACTCTCCAGCAAGGTATCCGTCAGAGATTAAGAAAGAGAAGAAGAAGGGCAAGCCGTATTGGGTTCCATTTGTATGTTGTTCTTCTGTGCATAGTGACATGTAATCCCTTGGTTTGCATTGTAGAGATGAAGATATATGAGGAGAAATTCCACTATACTTCGTTATATGTTATTGTCTAACTGTTGGATTATGTGTGCAGTATATCCTTTGAGTTTGTTGGTGTGCATTATAAATTCAATATAGATATTTTAGCCTTTTTATTTGGATCTGCTGTCAATGTCAAATGAATAAACCTGCTTCCAATATGATTTTTCGTGTTCTTTTTCTTTTTTATTTCTTTTTATCTCTATGTGCATGATGAAGTGATCCAAGATCAACTGTAGTCTATGAGAAAATATTATATGCACATGTTTTAAATTTGGTTTCTTGTGCATTTCGTCACCGATCTTTCACAAAGGTAACAAATATACCTCTAACCAATTTTATTGGCACGATTCATCTCCAGCCTTTCAAAAATTAGGAAGTACAAATTCCATCTAATTTGATTGTAAAGATCGCGTAAAATAGCAACTTCATCCTTCACTTTAAATAATTTTAAGAAGATAGGACGATATAATTGATTTTTAAATTAGAAGAATATAGAAAAAAAATATAAGATTGATTTGGTATGGTTGGTTATCAATTTTGGGTTATTCCCCAAGTACATGGGGTGTTTTCACAAGGGCCTTCACTGTAGCCGACCCCACCCCAATGAATAAAAAAAAAAACTGAGACTCTCCCCCCAGTGTGAGGTGTCGACAGGGGTCTGTGAAAAAAACCACTGTACTTATAGCACCTCTCATCAATTTTAACGATGGGGCATTATGGGATTGGGTGTTTTCCGTTTTTATTATTTTCTTACTCTTTATTATTTTGTCTTCTTTTTCTTTTCTTTTCATTTCTTTATTTATTTATTTTAAATTAGTTAAGGATAAAATGATCATTTTACTTAGAAGGTGCCACAAAATGACCATAGGCTCAGAAGATTTGGGATCTCAATTGCTAGAAATCAAGGGTTCGGATCCATAGTCACAAAATTAAAAGATTTGGGACGCCAGGTGCAATTTATCCAAAGTACAATACCATCCTACCATTATCCCCATTCTAAGGTCACTTGGTAGCTAACTAAAACCTTCAATGGCCATATATTCTCCCACTTTCCGGTATTATCACACATCAGCTTCTTCTTCACTATATTATGGAGTGGCAAAATCCCAATACCGCCCATCGTTAAAATATTCGCATCCATTAGCGAAAACTCAAAATTACTCGACTGATTTTAAAACTAGAAAAACCCATCAGAATCGAAGGCCTTTTCTTGAAAAGCTCAAGGGACAGCAAGGTTTTGACCCAGTTCAGAAGCTAAAGGAAGACGGGGACTGGAGCAATGAACAATTATGGGATGTTGTTAAATTACTCAGAGAGACTTCAAGGTCCAATGAATTTCTTAAGGTATGCGTCTATTTCCTGTTAAAACTTTGTGTTTTTATCTTCTCCTGATAAAAATTCATTGATGTACAATATCACATGGATGAGAATGTTTCGGAAAATTTTGTCATTGGGCTAGATTTAGCAAATTTTTTAATTTTTAATTATTGAGAAAATGCATCTAAAATTGAGTAAGGAAAGAAATTACTGAAGGGCTGTTGCAGGATACAGCTAATGTCTACTTACACTGTAAACTATAAATGTATATTTCACGCAATTATATGCATAATTGTTGTTAATTATGATTTGGAAAATGCAGATCTTGGTATGATCTTTCTGCCCTTAGAGTTTCCTTGTGCTACTTTTTATATTAATGATGTGATGCTCAATAGTCATTTGAACTATAAGGTTTATACTATGCTTATTATTGTGATCACCAGGAAAAAAAGGGATTGTGATCACTAGGAAAAAAAAAAGGGGGGGGGGGGGGG